TGGATTATGGACTGGATTATGGACTGGATTATGGACTGGGTTATGGACTGGATTATGGACTGGATTATGGACTGGATTATGGACTGGATTATGGACTGGATTATGGACTGGACTATGGACTGGATTATGGACTGGATTATGGACTGGACTATGGACTGGACTGGACTATGGACTGGACTATGGACTGGACTGGACGATGGACCGGACTGGATGCATTTGTGCTAAAACCTGGACAATGGACGATTTTTATTTAGCTACAGCCGTTTCAACAAATTCAGTCTCTGCATGGCTATGACTTTGTCACTATAGTACGGAAGCCGTGAAGGGACTTCAGACTTCAGACATTGGTTCCGAGCTTTGCTAATAGCCAACATTGCTTAAATATGGCGTCAATTTTAAAGCATTATTGATAATTCTATTTTAATTGACAATTTTTAACTATGATTTTATGTTTCTCAACCGGCAGATGCATTTAAAAAGGTAGCTAACTGTATAAACTAAAGAATGAAGAAAAAAAAGTGATTCTAAGAGGAGGAACGCAAAAGCAATGTTGGATATTAGCGAAGCTCGGAACCAATGTTTGACAATCAGACTTCAGACTTCAGACAAATACAATTATCAATGATGCTTTAAAATTGACGCCATATTTAAGCCGAGCAATATAATTATAAGCAAAACTTACTGAACTTCAAACATAATTTTCTCTTTGGCGTAGTCTAAAATCTCTTCAATTTAGTATTAATTTAGTGAAGATCACGGCCCAGCATAGTCACGTATTTTTGAGCTCTGCAAAATGTCCGAATTTCTAACAAAGGTTATGAAAACTTTAGAAGAAATTGGCCATCAAGGCCTTTCTAGCTTTATCTATGACGGAAAGAAACTTATCTGCTCGGAATCGAAGGGACATGGTCTTCCCCTGGTGGTCATGCAAAGCGATTTAAATCGCAAAACGGTGAACTTATTCTCAACTATTATACCAAGAAACAGAATATACTATTTCAAGGGACTTATGGAAACGATTTAAAGAATAAAGTGATAGACCAACTCAACAAGGTTAACCAAACCTTTGATGAGGACGAAGTCGAAAGCAACGCGATAAAATCTCAATGTCAGGACGAAGGCCGTGAAGAAAGCAATACTACGATGACAACATCTCATAACCAAAACGAAGCCAACGACGAAAACGATGCAGACGGATTATCACTTGAAAAAATCTCGAATAGTCCATGCAAGAACGCAAATATCTGCAATAAAACTTTACCGTACTCGTGTAATTGCAGATCATTGGCAATCGAACTTGAAAGCGTAAAGTGGGACATAGTTATTTTACAAAATAGCATTGAGTCGTCAAATAATAAAAACACAAATTCCTCTGAAGAGTTAAGTAAGCTACAATTAGAACTAAAAGAGGGACAACATAAAAACCGCTTGCTTGTAGCTCATATAAAGACAGTGGAGGAAGAACGAGATTCACTTCGCCTAGCTTTAAAGCTCCTTATGCAAGACCATACAAATAAATATATTGCTGTGGCTAATGACCGGAACGAGCAAGGCAAGGCAGTCACTGGAAAATTACAGGCAGAAAATCAGATAAAAACGACGACAGCAAAAAGATAACCAGCTATGATGAAAGCATGTCTAAACCTGCAGCCAACTCAGCTACAATTGGCGATGCAAGTGAAGAAGATACAAATTTATCATGGTGCGACAACAACAGCTACAGTGTTTTGGAAGATCTGAACGAATCATGTCGCGTGATTGACGAAAGG